AAAATAACATTTTGGTCTCTTTGCTTCATGCTCTAGCACAAAAACGAGAATTGTTGAACACGTACTTAACTCTCCACAGCCAGGTGGCGAGTAAGTAGAGAAGCGACATCAGCATATTTGATAAGCAGGTTGCTTTTGATTCTTCTGGACTGCTTTCGGTGAAGCAGCTGAGGGTATGCATTGGAGAAGAGCTGGCGTTTCGCTTGTCATCAGTGCTCTGGACGCTCCGTATAGGTAGAGAACTTCCCGAGTGACCCTGTAGATGCATGCTAGTTGATGTACATGTTGGAGTCCTCGTTTGTGTCGGTTGGGAGCCCCCTCGAATTCAGCATATAAGAGGTGCTATGACGTAACTGTGCAGTTCCCCTTTCTGTCGGCTGCATCCCTTTCCTCGCGAGGAGACAAATTAGCATTCTTTTTGTAGAATACGAGAAACAACTCTGTGTTGGGATCGTACCTATCATCTAGGCTATAGGGCCCCTATCGCAGTCCCTGAGAGACCAGTCTAACACTGCAGATGTTTAAATCAGTGAGTGATAGTCGTTACTGAGCCTTGGTTTCCCTCTGCCCCTGAGGGGCTGGATGGGTTGTTTGGATGCCTACTATCCGCGTAACTGGGCTACCTGAGGTGGTCTTCAAGGCATCAACTCCCTTACGAGAGGGCGAATGCAAGGAAGTTTCTATCGACGAGCTCTGGAGTTTCGTCAGCCACGTACAGACAGATGTACCTTTATAAAGAATAGGAAAAAGCCTTCAATTGCATTGACGGCTACGAACCAGTTGCTCCATCTCTGCTGCGGGAATTCATGTGTCTATTCGCTGAAACATAAAAGCTACCACACCCTCAACTGGCATCACCACTCCCCCTTTTGAACGTGATACCAATGCTTCGAAACAATAGCGGGCCTGAGGTTGCAGCCCTGCAAAATAGCGAACCCTCCAGCAGGGTACCCACAATGCTGTTTCTGTCTGCAAGCATGCTCACCAACTCAACAGGAGTACTTTCCGGTTAGGCCTCAACAGAGCATGTCTGGAGGAAAAACACCGATTTCTATTCGCCCGCATTCGTCGCATTCGAGCTAGAATGCCTGTGACCGTGAAGATGACCCTTCAGCCACTATATCCCATGGTAATGTTTCCGAATCTCGAGGTGATGAGCAGATCATCGGGGAGAGGTATATAACTCGAGCGACGTTCGCTTTCTTCTCGAGCTGCGTCTCACGATCAAAGGAAGCTTCCCCTACACAAAGCTGAGATGAATGAGGTAGAGTCTGTCAATGCACTGAAGTACAGCGCCGTCTGAAAGTGCATGGCTTAGTAAATGAAGTAACTGAAGTGTTGCCTCCGGTGCGCATAATGCTGCTTGGATGAGAAGGGATAAAGTGGACAACGTCTCAATGCAGGAGACACGAACACGAGGCAGACGAAAGAGACGCCTGCATCCAAATTCATCCGGCTCTAAGAATTTCACTGTTTACGGCATCATTCTCATGCATGACGAGACATACATCACTTGACTTACACAGGAAACGTTCGTTAGTTGGTTTTACTCCTGCCTCCATTCGCTGCTGTCTCAAGAGTTTTGGCAAAGGAGACAAGTCCTTTAACATAACTGCCTACTGCCTAGGGCAGCTCTGTCAAAGGCCTTGTCTCCTTTAACCCAACTCTTGAGACAGCGTGAGGCAATTCCTTCAAAGGAATCTTCTCCTTTACCCAACCTCTGCAGACATAAGCGAATCCCCCTCGTGCGAGAGGAAAGCAGTGACAAAAGGTGTAAAAAGCTTTACACGTGAAACTCCCAGAGATGTACAATTCGTCCAACAACAACAATGNTGACAAAAGGTGTAAAAAGCTTTACACGTGAAACTCCCAGAGATGTACAATTCGTCCAACAACAACAATGCTGCTAGGCAACGTCTCAAGCGCTTGCTTGCAGTCCACCAGAGAGTAATGGGACCAAATGAAGCCGCAGCTTTTCTACTAGCCGACTGCTCTCTGATGATTGGGCCTAGCATAAATAGTGAATACAGCGATATTCCTTTGTCGCTAATTCCACTCCATAGAACTGGCGGGACTCGTGCAGCCGTCCACGGTCCCGAGAAGTCCACTCTTCTGGGTGGAACGTGGCAGAGAAACGTGTCATTCCGCCACTAAAGGCAGACTAAATGAACGCGCCGAGACGCATGGTGTTGTTAACTTACATAAGGCAAAATCTAATTGGACTGCAGTTACGTGAGTCTCCCCCCACACGCGCTTCCAGTTGACTGGAGTAGATGCAATAATGTGGCTTTTCACAACACGCATCCAGAGACGAGCCAAATGTAGCCATAAGCTGTGCTTAGAATACCAAAGCTCGTGTGGAGCATACCCGAAGAAATGTCCCAGGCAGGTCTGGTAAACCATGCAGCTTACTCCGCGGGAGTACCCGTGACCACTTGTCGGAGAACGTTGAAGCATCGCCCGTCCGAAGAACGCATATTATACTTTACAGAAACTGAGTTGCTCACTAACAACATACATATCCTCTTCTGCATTAGGCCAACGTCCATGTAAGCAAATAGCGGCTGCTGTCCCGAAAAAAGCACCGCTCATAATGAGCCCCGCCATTCAAGATCATCCGTCCTCCATTTCAACCACTGTCCTCTTTGAAACCTAGGAATTTGTCTCGTACAGAAGATCTTTTGCTTTAATGAAACCAACACTTCGGCTGTGGGACGCTTGCCCGACCTATATGTATCCAAAGCACTCTGTAATGACTGGGCCAAGAGGATGTTCTGTTCAGCTGTTGGGCGTGAAGCAGCAACTTTTGTGGGTCCTGGGTACACTGGTATCGCACTAACGACACTCCCCCACCACTCGTCGCGCTTCGACTGCGGTCCCCAGACCTCAGTCGCCGCATACAAAGAATCTACGAGGATCAGAGCAAATGCTAGCCTCTCGACAGCGACCTTCGGCTTCTTCTTGTCAATATCTCCCCTCATTTGGACTATTGCAAAACCCGCGAGAAACTCAACCTGCGTCATGAGGATGTCCAAATGCTGCCAGTCGATCACGGGCATTTTCAGGCATTCCTTTACAAGCACCATAGAGTTAAGGGAATTGAAACGCCTAGCGGCCATTCTGTCCAATCTCGCCTCCCTAAAACCCCTTACAAATGCTCCTGGGACGACCCTAGGTAATCTATAGAAGGGGTGCGTGGTGATGTCCTTCTCAGGAGTCATCTGCAGCAGCAACAAAGTGTCAGAGGCTGGAGCACGCGTTTCTCTCATCCCTGGCGATGNTCAGGAGTCATCTGCAGCAGCAACAAAGTGTCAGAGGCTGGAGCACGCGTTTCTCTCATCCCTGGCGATGCAGGTTAATTCGACTCACGCAATATCAACCCGGTCAACCTCAAAAGTCACACTGAAAGAGGTAAAAATCACTAGAGGATCAACAAGAAGAAGGAAAGCGTTAAGTGCATTCTCCACCTAACAACTACTCGTACGTGCCATTGTAAAACACCAACTATATAACCACAGTTCTTGTATTTATGCGGAGATACGCTCAAGTGGCGAGAGACTGAAGCAACCAACAACTTACCTTAGGAATATAAATCGGATATCCAGAGTTTCCTCCTTGTCCCTTCATTTGCTCATCGGAGTGAAACTGCACAAGCTGCTGCTGATTCTCCACACGGTGAGACTGCTGTTGGCCATTATTGGCTTGTGAAGCAAAGGTCCCGGGCTGCGGGACGCTGAATGTCTCACTAGACAAATTTGGTTCTAGAGAAGGAAAAGATAAACCTGAGGGCCCCTCGTCCATTCTCAAGAACGTTTTCGGCTCTAGTGCACTTAGAGAAGTGCCATCTTCGAGCATTGAAGGTGCGACTGCAGAAAGCATCGCTTGCTCGTGTTCAACGTCGTCAAATGACTCGTCGCTGCGCTGCTGAAGTGAAACAGGAACAAGACTTGCAGGAACTTCCCCTACGGGATCAAGCAGCCATGCATCTAAAGATAAGCTTGCTTCGTCTGTCGCCAATGCCTGGTCTATATATTCATCTAGAG